GGGAGCCGGCCCAGGAGTCGGGTTACTTGGATCAAGCTGCTGCGGGGGAGGGGAGGGGCGGCCACGGCAGCTGGCCTGGGTTGGGGGTGGGGGCGGGAGCCTCGGGCAGAAGGACCCCCTCCCCCTAGGATGGGCCCCATTCTTGGCCTTAAAGGGAAACCATTACTGTATCCAACTCTAGCAACAAACATTTGTGAAGTGCACATTACGTGTCAGGTGCTGTGCTGGACTTGAGCGCGTGCAAAATGGCATAGCTGGGGTTCTGCCCAAACTTGCGTCTAATTGAGGAAATCCAGGAGGAAGAAGAACGCTGAAGACATCAGGAAGTAGATAAGGCCTAACTGAGAAACATGAGCAACCAGAGTTTAGGGGTTCCTGCAAAAGGAAGTCTTCCCTGTCCCCCCTTCCACTCCCCTCCCATCCCCTCCCCTCCCCCCGGGTAATCTGGGAAGCTTCCACAAAGGGGCCAGGTGTGGCCGACCCCCCCCCAACTCCCTGGGGGACTGGGCCATCAGTGCATATCTCCCTTGCAAACACTCTTAACCCAGTCTCTCTCCATTGCATTCACCTGGCAAAAACCCAACTGTGGTTAAATCCAGCTGCTTACTTCACGCCTGCAATGAAGCAGTTGCACACTGCTGAAGAAAATTAGCCAGCTACTCTGGATGGACTCCTATCAAATTTATGGCCATACATTTTCAGTGTACATTTGAATTTCTGGGTAATGCTACGACCAGTGTTTCTTAGAAAATTCCTCCTCTCTCTCCATGGGCAACAACGTCACACTTTCTCCTCTTCTGCATATTTTCAACACTCCTTCCTCTTTCAGTCTGGCCTCGACTATCCTTAATAGAGAAAATAGGCACAGACAGAAGAACTACCTGCTCTTCCTCCCACCAAAGCCACCAGAACGCTTGCAGCTCTGCGTTCCCTCCGCCCATCTGCGGCCTGGGCCTTTCCGCCTTCCAACAGCGCAAATATTTCCTTTCTTTCATGCATCATCATTTTCTTCCTCTTTACTAATATCTATCAATTTAAAGACATATTAGCCTTAGCCTCCTGACTCCTTCAGGCAATGCACTATTTTTCTGCCCCTCTGCAGAGCAAATGTTCGTGGGAGAGTTGTCCAAAAACTCACACTTCTCTTCCCCAACTCCCATTCTCACCTCCACCCACTCCAGCTGGCCTTTTATCCTTGCCATTCCCTTGTAATAGCTCTTAAGAGGATGCCAGTGACCTGTATCTTGACTAGATTAGTGGCCAGTTCATAGTCCCCATTTCACCTAGTCTCCCTGTGGCATTGAACATGTTTGACCATTCTGTGGTAGACTGAAATATTAGACCTAATTCTTGCCACTCCTCCCTGAGTTCTTATCCTGTGTGACTCTGAAGTCCCTCTTTGCACTAGAGGTGGAGTATACATTCTTGCCCCTTGGACTTTGGACATGGCTCAGTGACCCATTTTGGCCCATGAAAGGAGGAGGAAGTGATATGGCACCAATTCTAAGCCTAGGCCTTAAGAGGCATTTCCACCTGCCTCCCTATTTGTGCCAATGTTATCACCATTGAACAACCTGCCCTCACTGGCCTAGTGGTGCAAGGATGATGAGGGATGTGTATCTGAGAGCTGTCCAGACAAGGTCAGCATCAGCTGCTGAGCCCCAGCTGGGCCATAGATGCATGAGTAAAACAAATATTTACTGTTGTATGCCATTGAAATTTTTGTGGCTGTTTGTTACCTAGCAATAGCAGATTGATACATCCTCCTTGAAACACTTCCTTTGCTCAGTTTCCTTAGAATCACCATCTTTCTGGTTTTTTCTAACTTCACACATTTTTTCATCTCAGTCTCCTCTGCTCGCTTTTCCTCTATCAGATCTCTAAATGTTGGAGTGGCTTCAGTCTCATCCTTCTCTCTTCTAGCTTTACTCTTTCCCTAAGTGGAATTATCCAGATCCACATCTTTGAACACTATCTGTTTGCTGGATCTCAAATTTAAATCCGAAGGAGATGCCCCTGAACTCCAAACTCAAACCTGTCCTCACACATTCACCTGACATCTGACAGGTCTTGGCATGGCCAAAACAGAACTGCTGATCTACCCACCCCTCCCCTCTGACATGGGCATCCTGTCCACCCAGTTATCCTAAAAATGGAGGTATCATCCTTGACTCTTCTGTCATTGGTCCAGAAACCTCACCATAGCCATAGCCACAATCCTGCTTTGACCTCCTCTTGCCAGGACTTCTGCAGTCACATCTTCATTGTTCTATGTTCCTAGTCCATGCTCTGCCAAGCAGCCAGAGTGACCTTTCTAAAGGGTAAATGGAATCTCTTCTCTTCTGGCTTAAAACCCTCCAAAGTTTTCCCACTGCAACCAAAATAAAACCCACACTCCTTATTTTGGCCCATGAGGAAATGATGGTCTAATCCTTGCCTATGTCTCCAGAGCCCTTGAAATCTCCTTGTTCACTTTGGTCCAACAACAGTGACCTTCACGGTGTCTCCTGAACTTAGCAAGTGCATTCCTGCACCAGGGATTCTGCGCTTACACCCCTTCTGCTTGGAGTATTCTTCCCACATCTTCACATGGCCACCTCCTTCCTGCTCAAGAGGTTTCAAAGAGACCTTCCCTGGCTAAATAAAGCAGTACCCGAAAGCCTCCCACTCCCACCACAATTCCATCACATTGATTAGCTCTGTATCAACACGTGAAATTGTTTGGCTTTATTCTCTTCTATTAGGCCATAAAATCCTTAAGGGCAGGTATTTGTCTTGGTCTCTGATATAATTCCAGGGCCAGAACATGCCTTGCACATAAGGGGCTCTCAGTAAATGCATGTTGACTGACTGAGGCCAGAAGTGAATGGAGAAGAAAATAACCATCTAGATGGGGAGGGTTTCCCAGGAAGGCAACCGCAGGGCCAGAGATAGGGAGGCTGGTGAATTCAAGATACACCAAGGGACCCTGAGGGGCCATGTTTTCTAAGGAGAGGATGCACTAGGGAGTGGGAGGAGCAAAGTCTGAATGGTGGGAGGGCTTGAAGACTGTCACCCCAAGTCCTTTGAATTAGTGGATGCTGCTGACAATTATGACTCAAGGAGATAGGTTCAAACGAAGATTTTAAGATAATATGGTTGAAGGGTATACATTTCTGAGTGTCCTTAACTAAATGCTGTCGCATGGGAGCACAGAATTTTAGAAGACAAAGACATCTAGAATAATGTGGGAGCCTAGGGGAGCTGGAGATCTGTCCCCTTGGATCGAGGTGCAAGAAAAACCCATTTATCCGACCTTCTAGGGACTCATATTGAGTTCCCAGTTTTGGAAGGTCTCCCTGGGTAATTAAGGGTTTGCTGAGCTGCACAGCAGGTACTCTTACACGTGTTAACGAGCTGGTGCCCTGTGTCTTGGGCTTCCTAACACCTTACGCCCCCCCCCGCCGCGCGCGCACACACACACACCCAAATTGCTTTTTTTCACCCTGTAACTAAACACAGCTTCATCAGACTCCCACCCCACGGTTACACCCCAGACCCAGCTTCTTGCCTTCCCAGCCCCCTCCACCCAATTCCATTGTCAGAGCGGAACAAAAGGCCCAAGGCATCCTGGGTTAAAGGATTTTAACTCTGCCAATCCCAGGAGGCTCCAACAAGAAGCAGCTTCCTGCAGGAGAAAAGTGACTGAGAAATCTCCCCAGGAGACGGGGAATTTTTTTTTTTTCCGGTTTGAAAAACAACCTAGCCGTCAATGCGACACTCCCCCCAGGCTCCCACCCCAGCCCCCACCCCGGGATTTGGCGCTCTCCCTCCCAGAGACCAAACGCGTCTTCAGGTTTCTTTGCTGATGACTTCTCTTTGTGGTGGTCAAGCTTCCACCCAAGCCCAAGGGACCGTCCCCGCCACTCCCATCAGGCAGGACTCTCCCTCTGCTCCCCTCCTCGTCCTCCTGCCCCCTGCCTTCACCGTGTGCGGGTACTGCTGCCCCGAGCGCCCGCCCTGTTCCTCCTTCCGTGTCCCCCTCCCCAGCCGCGGTCCGCGCGTCTGCTCCCCGGGCGCCGCCCCCCGCGCCGCGCCCGCCCCCGGCAAGGCGGGAAGTCGGGCTGGTAGCCCGCTCGGGGCCGCGTCCGGGCCGCGGGTGGCCAGTCGGCCGTCCCTCGCGGCACCCTCTTCGGCCACCAGCTCCTCCTGAACTTGGCCGGAAACAAACCCGGCTTCTGGAGCGGGAAGCTGCGGGCTTGTTGGTTGCTAGCAAGAGCATTTCCAGGGCCGAGGGTGAGTTTGTTCTCACGTGCCTCTGTCCTAACCGGGGAGTAGCGTCTGGGGAGCCCTTGTTGGCTGCTCTGCCCCAGTCCCAGAGGTTTCTGGAACAAAACTGCATTCGGTGTCAAACCCCTTTTGCTCACCCTGGAACTAAAGGTAAATATGCACTTCTTTTTTATTTCTTAAGTTTTTCACGTAGAAGAGATACCCGGTAAATTAGAAACATGTAAGAGAAAGGAGTGAGCAATCAACGCTGGCATTTAAACAACACAAAAATGCCCACGCCAGGCCACACGCCCAAGGCAGCCGCGCGCGCCGGGCGACGGAGCAGCGCCCTCTGGCGGCCGCATGGGGGTATCGGCCGCCCCCACCCTCCACGATCCGGAGCGGAGAGAGCCGCTTCCCCAAGTCTGAGAAACACTGGGACAATTTGGGGGGAAGGGAATTCAAGGTGTGCGACGCCAAGGTCCTGAGATGATTTTTGCGGCTTTGGGGCTGGTGCCCAGGCCAAGAACCCCAAGAAGGAGCCAACATAAAAGAAAAACCCTTGTTCCACTCTCAATGGCTGCCTGAAATTCTGTGAACACAGCGTCATCCCTCACCTTCGGGCTTTTATTCTTTGTAAAACTCAAATGCTTCAAGGAAGGGTAACCCTTTAAAACAAGGGCAGGTAGCAGGCAATGTCAAAAGATCATAGCGTCATCACCAAAAGGCATGATTATACCATAAGATGTACATTTTATACGGTGATGACGTTTAGTAAGTATCATAGAATCTTTTTTCCCCCTATTAGTTCTGGGGGCATTCTTTTGTACTCTGAACAGCAGTGTTATTTTAAGCTGCCCCTCCCCCAGTGGCCATTCCTTTCATTTCCATTTGCTCCAAGATTTCTTGTCCCTGGTACATCCTAAACGTTTCTCCTCTTCCCGCTCCTCACTCTCAGAGCTGCTACTGGAGTTGAGGCTCAGGCAGCGTGTTGTCTGAGTCAGGGCTGCTCCAATGGGAGCAGCTGGAGCCCGTCCACAGCACACAGGATCCTAGGTCCGCAGGACTGTCTCGGAGCCTCTCTCTGCCCCACAGGCGACACCCTGTGTCTGCCAAGAGGCGGCCACCTCGAGCTGGCTAGGGACGCCCTTCCCACAGGCAGCAGAGTACGCCTGCTTGTTTCTTTTCTATCTGGAGTTTCTCTCCAGGAGAGTATGGCCACTCCCTCATCTGGTGCAAGCCGGAAGAGGTGCGGGTGCTGGGTTTCTGAGGAACCAGGCCTGTCCCCCGCCCCGTTCAACCCCCACTGTTCTTCCTCTGAATCTCTTTTCCCAGCCGAAAGGGTTTCCACTTCTCCCTACTGTCTGGTGGGAATTCCTCCAACTTCATACCTTCCATCTCTCTGAGGCATTTTCTGCTGTATTTACTGCTACACAACAAGCCACCCAGAGGCTTAAAACAAGAAACACACTTTCAGTGCGCCTGACTCTGCGAGTCAGCTGGGCAGTTTCTAGCCTGGCTCTGCTGGGCTTGGGTATGTGTCAGTGGTGAGCTGGCAGGTCCCTGGGTGGTTTGGGACAACCTCACTCACACATCTGGGGGTTAGCAGGCTGGCAGCTGGGGTGAAAGGGCGACAGGGCCGCGAACCTCTCATTGTTCAGCAGAGGTGAGCCTACCCCCAGCTTCTTGCTGCAGCAGCAGGGGTCCTGGGATGGAAGAAAGCAGAAGCCACAAGGCTTCTTGAGGCCCAGGCTTGGCACCGGCCACCCTCGTTTCTGCCACGTTCTCTGGTCAGAGCAAGTCACGAGGCCAGGCCAGACTCAAGAGTGGGGAAACGGCCTTTAACTCCTGCAGGAACGAGTCACAGAGTATTGTGGCCATTTTTGCGATCCAGACAGTAGCCCGCTTCTTCCTCGGGCACCCTACCAGTAAAATAAACACTTCAAGAGTATAAAGTCCCTTATAGGCACCTAGGACAGGCAACGGAGCACAGCGCCGGGGCACAGCACCCGAGCACGCCAGCCCTGCAGTCACCGCGCCTAGGTTCAAATCTGGGCGCCCCGTGTGGCAGGTGTGTGACTTGAGAATGTTACCTTACCTCTCTGGGCCTCGGTTTCCTAATCTTTAAAAATAGCAGTTGTTGTAAACATTAAATAAGTTAATCCATATTAAGTACTTAATACAGTGTCCAATAAGTGTCAGCTACGGTTGCCAAAAAACCAGCCTCTCTACCCCAAGAGCCAAATTGAGAGACGGAGGCAGAGTTTAGGGGGGATAGAAAAGACAGCTTTGTTGCTGTGCCAGGCAAAGGCAGGCGCAGCAGGCTGATGCCTTAGAGACTGGGAGCCCATCTTAGGGTAAAGGTCCTGGGCTTTACAGGAAAATGGGAACAGGAGGGTGATAACAGGGTGTGAGCAGGGGCGACATTCCTTTCATCTTGATAAGAACTTGCTGTTGTTATGGAGGAATTTAGGAGGGTCTGCCCATTTTCTTGGGGCTCAGTCCATGGTCAGGGTGCAGGGAGGGGAGCGTGGTGGCCATAAGATCAGCTTAGCTAGAAGTACAGGCTGAGCAACTCAGTGGCCACCTTGTTCATTTTCTCCGCTTTCACTGTTGTGCCGCGAGGTGACTGCTGGCTGCCCCTCCCAATTGCTGAGGCCCCCAGCACTATCTTCCACAGATGTCCCAAAGCCCCCTCCCGCCAATGCCGACACCGGCAGCCCCCAGCCACCAGCTCTGCTGGTGGCCTCTGGTGTATACAATGCCCCCCTGAGACGCTAGTGAAATTGCCCTGTCAGTTTTTACCAGCTCCTTCCATGAAGCCCATCTGTCTCTCTAGGGCCATGATGGGCTAGCTATTAAAAAAAGGGCTCTTGAGTCAGACAGACCTGAGGTTTGCTTCCAGCTCTTCTTCCTGAGGGATTTAGAGGAGCAAACTCATCTCTCTGAGTTTCTGTTTCCAGCACTGCCTGCTGCAGAGCATCTAAGGCATAATAATATGAAGAACTGAAGACCCTGTGCTTAAAAAATTGCTGGCACTCGCAGGACACAGAGTCGTGTTGTCCCCGAAAGTGCCCCTCCCATAGGTGCTGAGAAATTGCCATGGATGAATGGTTTTTCCCAGAAATCTCCTTAGTCACTCAGAGTGCCCTCCCTCCCTCAGTCCACCCAGACGGGCCAGGATCCTGGGGAACAGGCTGAGCACTCCCTGCAGCTGCTGGCTTAGTGTCTGGTCCCTCCGCTCTGCTTCCTGAGGCCTGACCCCTGTTCCATTTTCAGTGGTATCTCTAATACTTAGCATACAACTTGGCATGGTAGACACTCAATAAATATTTGATGAAAGAATGAATGGATGAGGATGTAGGAGAGGAAAGACTTTCCCTGTACCCTCCTAGGTTCAATAGCTGTGAAATAAACTTACAACAGGCAGATTAACAGGAGGAAAGATATACACATTCATTGATTTTTTTTTAAATATGGAACCCTTCACAAATTTGCGTGCCATCTTTGTGCAGGGGCCATACTAATTTTCTCTGTGTGGTTCCAGTTTTAGTATATGTGCTGCTGAAGTGAGCACAGCATTCATTGATTTTTAACATTAAGTGGATGGGGACATCACAGGGAAAAAAGTGAATATCCAGAAAGGAGAGGAGATTGAGAGCTTATATACCTTTATAGGGGAGGGGAAGTTTAGAGGAAAGACAAACAGGCCCTTTGAAGAATAGACGGGTCATGTGATAATTTGTGACAGAGTTTGCCTGGGTGTGGGGTGAACTTCCAGCATCCACTCCTGTGACAAGAGTCAGTCTTCCCTGGCTGGTGAAACTCCCGGTGGGGGGATTCATGATAATTGAGTTCCTTGTGGTGCATCTGTCTTTAGGCAGATGAGGGGAGTTTGGAAAAAGCCTCTCCCTGCATTTGCTGTGTTTAAAAAGTGCCTTCAGTTCAAAGTAATCAAAATAGCAAAGCAGCGTATTTTGGGGTGTCCTGAGCTCCTTCAGGAATTTCACTTCAAGGTCGTCTGATAGTTCTTCTCCTTGGGTGAAACCAGCTTTTTTGGGATGACTTCTAAGCCAAGCCAGCTTGTTAGGTGGAAGGGATCATGTTTTCAAGAGCTGGGAGGGGTGGCCCTCCTCAACCTGGCTGCCAGGTGCAATCACAGAAGCCCAGGCTCACCCAGGGACTCGGGGGCAACTGGCATGGGACCTGCTTCAGTGTCCAGAACTGGGCGTTAGCCCTGATTTTTGCACATTCATCATTTTCACTGAGTCTCTCCCAGGATTGAATCTTCTCAAGCTGATGGTGAAGTGCCCCAAATTCCAATGATGGTTCCCACAGAGTTCAGACCCCAGTGGAAGATGGATGAGGCTGGACAGGGGTTAAAAAGCCAATTCCATTCCTAAGTGTGTGTTTCTGTGTGTCTAGACACAAGTGAAAAAAAAAAGTCTCTCATTGCAACTTGATACTTTAAGTGATTCATGAAATGAGTTAATATTCACTAACATGTGCCAGGCAGAGTAAATGTGAAAGCCAGGGGCAAAGGCAGAGGATGAGGATGAGGACGGAGATGAGGGTGACGGTGAGGGTGAGGGTGAGGCTGGCTGTAGAACTGATCCCAGGTCACAGATTGGCCTTAGGGAGCCAGGGTCCAGGAGTCTTGTTAGTAAGTCAGTGAGCCAGTCAGACAGGCCCCATTCAAACCCATGGCCTGGGGAAGGGGGCAGGTGGAGAGGGAGCAGCAGCTCCTTCTGTGATGGTGGAACTAAAATATCTGCTACAAAATTGCAGGAGAAGGTGGGAGTGGGGCTCCTGGTATGAAGAAGGCTGAGTTCATGAGTTTTGTTTTTTTGTTTTTTTTCTTTGCCTGCTGCACCTTTAGCCTGGCTCTTTTGAAAGACGGATGTGTACCCATCCGCAAACACATCGACCACGCCCATCTTTGAAGGATGGTAGAAAATCGTGGAGGAGGTGAGTGGGCAGCGCGTGGAGCCTAGTTGGAGCCTGAGAAGGCAAGGATCTTCTTTGGACACACAGTTCTGGGACAGGGGAAGAAGATTACCACCTTCATCATATGAGACTTATAAACCCTGGATCTTAATTTCGTTTCCCAGGAAGAGGTCTAATTGTTCAAAGGATAATGGAAGTGAGGCTAAGGGTGTGCTGATTCTGAGCTGGGCCCTAAAGTTCCTTTATGACACTCAGACTGTCACACAGGCTGCAAAGCCCACCAGGCAAAGGGTGGTCTTTGGCCACTGACAGCAGAGTGAACTGGGCTGCGTGCTCAGAACTTGTCCCAGGACCCATCCCAGATCTGCCTAATCTCCAGCTACTGGGCTCTCTCAGGATTGAGCCGGGGACTCCAGATTTTAAATATGTTCCCCAAGTGACCCCAACATGCCTAAAGACTGAGGCCCTTGTAAAGTAGGTGGATGGGGGTGGAGGAGGCCAGTGGCTCCCAAGCCTGGTGGCTTGAGAATGGACCTGGAGCTTTAAGAGATAGCCTCCGCCCCTGGTTGATGTGAGGTGGGCCCAGGAATTAGTATTCTCATCCCATTCCTCAGATGATTATGTTCATTAACCAGATTGGGTATCCTTGGAGGGACCTAACTGGGAAGAAACTTTCCTGATCTGTTACTTGACTCTGAAAATCTCCCCACAGCGTCTCTTCAGTGAGACTGCGACCTTCCGCACAGACCCCAGTGCAGGCTGAGGGCGTGGAGATACTGGGGTCATCATGTTGTTACCCCTGCCCTAGGCTGATTGGGATATAATTGGCATATAACATTGTAGAAGTTTCAGGCATCCCACATTTTAATACTAACTTAATGCAAAACGATTAAAATCAGAGTGTTAGCTAACACTTCTATCATGTCTCAGATTTAGTATTTCTTTTTTTGTGGTGAGAACATTTAAGATCTACTCTCTCAGCAACTTTCAAGTGCATGGTACGGCATTATTAACTGTAATCACCATCCTGCACAATAGATTCCCCAGGACTTACTCATCTTCCAACTGGAAGTTTGTTCCCTTTGATCAACATCTCCCTGTTTTCTTCTGCCCACTGCCCCCAGCATTCTACTCTTAGTTTCTATGCACTTGGCTTTTTTAGATTCCACATATATAAGTGGTGACATTCAGTATTTGTCTTTCTCTGTCTGACATCTCACTTAGCATAATGCCCTCAAGGTCCATCCATGTTGTTGCAAATGGCAGGATTTCCTTCTTTCTTGTGCTGTGTAATATTCTATTGTATATCTGTACACCACATCTTCTTTATTCATCTGCTGATGGGCGCTCAGATTATTTCCATATCTTGGCTGTTGTGAATAATGCTACAATGAACATGGGAGTGCAACTGTTTCTTCAAGATTCTATTTTCATTTTCTTTGGATACCCAGAACTGGGATTGTTGGATCATATGGTAGTTTTATTTTTAATTTTTTTGAGAAAACTCCATACTATTTTCCATAGTGGCTGCACCAACTTGCATTCCCACCAATAAGCGCACCAGTGTTCCCTTTTCTCCACATCCTTGCTTGTTATTCTCATCTTTTTGGTGATAGCAGTTCTAACAGGTGTAAGGTGAGTGGAACCATTGTTTTGAAATATTTTTGGATTGATAAAAACCCCAAACATGGCCTCAAAGTTAGTAGAGTATTTGAATCCCAAAAGCAAGAACTTCCCCAAGGAGAATCAGCTTTTTCATGTGCTTTTGGCCTCAAGAGAGGACATCTGACCACCATTCTGCCTCCTGCAATTCAGAACAGCTGGCGTGAAAAGTCAGCTATCATAGAATTCTAACACACACACAGCACGCGGGTCCACATTGGCGAGGCTCTGCTTTCTGGTACCACCAGCCATGGAGGCCGCATTTTGCCAGTTGGTGAACTTTAAGACAACCTGGCCTCAGGCCTCAGCCATCACCTAAGGCAACCTTCCTCTTACAAAAAGCCTCTCTCTTTTATCCCAAAACAACACTGCATGTAATTTACATTCTAATTAATATCAAAATGGGCAGGGGGTCCACAAGATGAAAACTATTTTCATAATAAGATGTTATTTGCCTTTTTCATTCTCATTTTCTCATGAACGTGTGAAGCTATGTGCTTTGGGAAAACTCAGTCTGATATCACAACAGAGTGAGCTCAGAAGCAGATATGAGACTCCATCTGTCTTTTATTAAGCTAAACATTTAAAAAAATTGCAGGAATGTAAAGTGGTGCCACCCTTCTCACTAACACTTTTTGTTTTGGAAAATAAGTTATTTTAAAAAATATGTTAGCAGAGTGCATTTATTATTGTAATTTTAAGTAAATAAACGCAGTAAAAAATTACAGTTTGATTTCTACTATGGTAAATAGAAAGTTCGTTGAGGTCCTCAATAATGTTGAGTATAAAGGAATCTGGAGAGCAAGAAGTTTGAGAACCTCTGCCTTATTTCTTAACCAAACTGTAGATTGCTCCTTGGGCTTCACCCAAAGTTTTCAAGTGTCTAAGCTCCCCTTCTTCACCAACGGTTGGGATCCACTTTGGTGACAGTGTGTCTCTCAGACAGCTGCCTCAACGCTCCCTACAGCCCTGAGCGTCCCTCCTCCTGGCCTCCCCTCCCACCTTCCAGGGTGAGAAAGCCGTCCTTTGACCCTCAGCAAACTTAGGATGGGGACAAAGGACTCATGTGCAGTTGGGGGAGCAAGGGAATGAAAACACAGTCGTTGACCTCAAGGGATTTCTGATTTTGTGGGCGATACGGACAGGTAAGCAGTTGCCCAGAAGATACCTGTCATTGCTGTTTTCCAGTAACACCCCAAGAGGAAAGCAGGTATTGAGCCAACCCTCCCGCCTCTTTCCCTCCCGCAGCCCCAGGTTCGCGAGATCCCCGGTCCCGCGCGCCCCCTGCAGGTCGTGCCTCGTCTGAGCAGCATTTTCCCTCCGGAGCTGCAGGACGCGCACTAGGGTTAGACCTCTAGTCTGGTGGCGGCTGCTCTGGGACCCCATCACTGAGGATCTACCTCGGTCCTCCGCGGCCTTCTGTCTGTAACTCTGGGCACGTTTACCCCTTGGTGACTAATTCCAGCCCGCTTCTGCCTCTTTCTCAGCCCTTTCTGAGCGCTAGGCATCTTGTGGCTTCCTGCCCCCCAACAAAGCCATTTGTAGGTGACAGAGAGTATGTGCCACTGTAGAAATGTTATGTGGTGCGGATTGGATCCAAGTCCAAGGAGTGCGATGCCAAAGTTTCACTTCTTACTGACACGCCTCACAGCAAATTATCTGATGGCTAAAGCAGCTCTGGATGTCGGCGATTGAGGGACATTCTTTGTTGGCAGATTCCTTCAGGAGGGGGAAAGGGAGTCTGGACCTTCTGAATCTCATCGGCTTAGGGTGGATTCTTTGCTACGCGAAGTACATGGTCGTACTTTCCGCGTTCTAAGGTGGGCATCGGTACTCCAACACCTTCACCAGCCCTTAGAGGGCTTTTTTTCAGGGGCATAGGGATCCTCCTATTATAAACAGGACTTCAGTGAGCTACTGTAAAATCCCCCAACACCTCAAAGTGAGTGTGCAGATGAACGCTTTGACCCTGGCTTGCTCGATACAAAATGAAACCCTAAAATCCAGGAATGAAACACCCAGGTGTCTTTCTTTTAATCAAACCCTAGAAATTCAGGATGAGAATATCCTCACACTGAACAGTATTGGAGGTTGGAAGGGAGTTTCAGAGGCAGAAAGGTATCCTTGGGGACCTGCCTAAGGGCTCTCCTACTGTTCTGACCCACAGTCCATTAGCAGGAACCTCATTGCCCCGTAAGCAAACTCAACCATCTTACCTAGGGGGGTTTCCATGGTAACCATCAAAGACTGATCCCCTTTTCTTTCCTACAGATGTTTCTTCCCCTCTCCCCCCCAATAGTCACTGTCAGACGTACCCTAGAACTGGAGTCTATTGAAATACTATTTGCAAAGATATTGTTTTCCCCTTTCCATCCATGTTTCAGGAAAGTAGAAACCGTTTCATTAATGTCCACCAAAATGCCCTTTAAAAATAAACCGGTAATGTCAGGTACATGGGGATTTATTTTATTATATTATTCTTATTACTTTTGTGTAATAATTTTAAATTTAAAAACTTTAAAATTTTTTTTCTAAAAAAATTTCAAACGAAGAAGAAAGGAACATTCCACATGTTCTTCTTTCAACATTTTTGGGGAAAATCTGGTCTTTGTGGAGAATAAGAGGTTATGAAATAAATACCGTTTTCTACAAAAGGAACTCAGAGGTTGTAAAACCTCAGTCCTTATTAAGGGCATGGAAGATGGTATAGCTGAAGACTTTAGCTTTGAAGCACAAGAAGAATATAAATAAACCTTTAAAGGATAATAAAATATAGATATTTAGGAGATTTCTTTTCTATTCTTTTAATTAAAATTTTTTTCTTAGTTTTTTTTTTTTTCCTTAGGGGATATTTTTAAAAATCAATTAATCACACGATCCTTCCTCGGTCCTCTTCCCATCTTTTCCCCAGCAGTCTTCTTACCCTTCACAGCCTTTCAAACTTCCTCTCTGAGAAACCCAGCCAGCGTGATCACCTACTGCTTTTGTCCCAGACAAGGGTTGGGTAAACTATGGTCCTTGGGCCAGTTCTGGCCCAGGGCTTGTTTTTGTCTGGCCAGTCAGCTAAGAATGTTTTTTTACGTTATTCAAGGGCTGTAAAACAAGCAAACACACGAAGCAGAGCATGGACAGAGACTGGATGTCCACCCTGTGGCCGTGTCTGATCAGTGGACCATCTCCGCCGGCTGCTGGAGTCCTGGTGAAAGGTGGCTTTTCTTCCATCCAGGCAGCAATGACAAGAGGTAGAGCCGAAGTTGCCATGCCGACAGGGAATTCAGTTCTTAAAATAGACGACTGTGCTCAGGCATTTTCGGGGTGGGTGGGTTTGGAGGGAGGGGGTTAGGGAGAGGGGTGGGGAGAGATGATCAACGAATGAGTCAGACCCAACTGGTGACAGCTGTTCCATCCTCCCTCTGGTAAGACGGCGGGGAGGAGCCTCTCTAAAACGAGGTCTGAAAGAGACATTTTCCTTTCAAAGGGTAGGGATGGCTCTGTTTCCTCACACGGTTTTCCTGCCTGGCAGAAGGAAATTCCCCCCACCGCCTCTGCCGCGTCCCCCGCCCCCCGCAGCCTCCTCCCTGTGGAGAACAGAAGTAGGAACACGCCCATCTCACAAAGCCTGCCCCGTCCCGCGATTCCGAGGGCCTGGGTGTGCGGGGGGCCAGCCTAGCGGGGGATGGGAGGAGCCGCTGTCGCGCGCGGCGGCCTCGGGGCTGCCTCCGTGCGAGGCGTGAGTCTCGTCATCAACTTCGTCATCACAATCATCGTCAAGGAACCAAAACTAGAGTGTATCACTAAAAGTGTGTCTTTTATCCGGATAGAACAAGCAGCCAGCAGTCGTTCTTTGAGAATCTCCTGTCACCCCTTTGCTGTGCCCTCAATGCCTCAAAAGGTGAACTAAGCCATTTTTTTTTAATTTTGGTAAAATATATATAACATAAACTTTACCATTTAAGCTGTATTTTAACCGTGCAACTCAGTGACATTAAATACATTCACATTATTTTGGCGCTATCACCACCATTCACCTTCAGAGCTGCTTCATTACCCCAGATTCTGAAAGTCTGCAGGAAACTGTGGGTTCGGTACCTGCCCCCACCCCAGCCCCTGGCAACCACTACTCTACTTTTCTGTCTCTGTGAGTTTGGCTGTTCTAGGAACCTTGTATAATTGGAATCGTACATATTTGTTCTTTTGCGTCCAGCTTATTTCCTATCTTTAAGGTTCATCCATGCTGAAGCGTGTGTCAGAATTCCATTCCTTTTTAAGGCTGAATAATATTCTGTTGTATGTAGATACACATTTTCTTTAGTCCATTCATCCATCAATGGACATTTGGTTTGTTTCCACCTTTTGGCTACTGTGAATAATGTTGCCATGAACTTTGGTGTACAGGGAGCTGTTGGAGTTCCTGATTTCAATTCTTTTGTCGGCTAAGTTCATTTTCAGAAAGAAACTAAGCCGATTGAGATTCCCACCCAGGGTGCACAAGATGCTACAGCAGCATGTTCCTATCTTTTCCATCTCACCCATTCAGGATCCATCTCTTATGAAGCCAGCAGCCCCTGGTCCCCTGTCCTCCTCCCTCCCTCCTCCAGGCTCCAGCCCCCCTGCTCTTACCACTCATTACCATGAGATCAAGGCCCTGGGGACCTCTGGTCTCAGGTCCTTCATCAAGGGGTGGAGAACTTTAAAATTGATAGTTCCTTCCTATTTTTCACAGTTCAGCATCAACAAAGTAAAACTCTCTAGGTTTAATGCCAGTTGTATCTTTTAGCATCCTTTCAATGTTTCTGTGCACATTTGGAAATGTGTTTTTCATTTCCCACCAGGAGCAGGATAGGAAGGACTCAGTGGATAGGAGCTTTTTGGTTGGGAATGGGGACATGGACTCAGTTGGCTCACCTGGGCTGAAAGGAAGGAATTTTATTTCATGGCTGGGCAAGATGTTCTTTTTTTTTTTTTTTCTTTCCTGGAGGTGCTCTACTTGCTGCTGATCAAAAGAAAGTGGGGCTGTGGATAAAGCTCACACCTAGGGAGGAAGACAGAGCTGAGAGAATAGCAGAATGTGGCGCTAGAGTCCTGATCCTGCAATGCCTGAAGCTTACTCTACTCCAGTTACCTGATAATAAGCTAGTGAATTGCCTTGTATTCTAAATCTGTTTTGGTAGGGCTTTCAGACCCTCAGGACCAAAAACTTCCTTTGTTTCTTTATCTCGAGAACAGTGGGAAGTCATTATAAGGTATAAGCAGGGAGAATCCGGGAGAGGGTGACATGATCAGATTTGCATAATATGATCACCCTGAAATCTGGCTGTAGGGTAGAAGTGGGTTAGTGGGGAGCTGGAGTGGTTATGGTTAGAGGGGTGATGCTGGACTGTTCTGGTGAGAGGTTATGGAGAAGGAGAGAGGGGAGCAGATCCGGGAGATTTTAGGGAAGCTAGGTAAGTTTGGCAGAAGTTAGTAAGTTTTCTATATGAAATCACTTTGATACCCAACCCCCGCCCCCAAACACACCAAACACACCCAGACACATAGATTCCAATGCCAATGGTTATCCAAAGCCCCCACCCCATTCCTACTAATTTTGGGGAGCAGGGAAGAAGTTTTCATTTCTCAGGGACGTTTCTGCCTCTTAGTCTCCCAAGTCTAAGAGTGGTTTTGTTGTTCTGCCAAGTCATGGCTGGTATGAAACTCAATTCTTCATGGGTTTCCATAAAAACGGCCCCTCACTTAGACAGTTGGGCATTTGTGAAACTTGTTCCGAAGCAGCCTGGCCACAGGCCACAGCCAGATCAACCCAGTGTCTTCAGGAGGACGAGAGGTTTAAGAGACACTGATTGATTGAGGCCTCCTTTGCGTAGGAAAGACTTAAAATGATTTCATGAAGCAAACATGCGTTGGGCACTTCCTGCGTGTGTTATGCGGTAGCCTGTGGCGCTGGGGCAAACAAAGATGAAATCATCCCTCCGTCCTCAAGGGTCCCACTGTGGAGGGGAAGACCCACACACTGCTGACTGCTGAGCAGTGGACCAAAGCCACTGAGTCTGTGCTGTTAACTGAGTACAGACTACGGGTTCCCAGAGGGAAGGGATTCTTTTGGGGTAGGAAGGTGGGTTGAGTGATTAGAGGACACGACACTATTGTGGGCATTTGAGGCACAGTGAGAGGTGAGGAAGTGCCTGGCCCCCTCCGAGAGTGGAGAGTAGGGAATGGTCATCAGAGGAAGTGTGCCCAGAGCTGGGACGGAGGGGCGGGAGCAGGCCGGGCAGGTCTTGCCATGCGGTGCCCAGGAAACGTGCTGCTTTTCTGGAGGTGATGGTTGGGCACCCAGCAAGTGTGTTAACTTGATTCCTTATGTCCATTCCTCCTTCCATCCATGCCAGGGAAGAGCAGGGGGCGGGACGGGTGAAAATCTTTAAAGTATTTGCTTCCCTTAATCAGCCCAAGGCTACCGACCTTCTGGCTCCTTGGAGTCTAAGAGAGAAGAAAAGAGTGGCTTGAAACTGAGAAAATACTTGCGTGAAGGAGTAAAAAGCGGCTTCCAGTACAACACTTATTTGGAGATGGAATGAATAAATGAGATAAAATTCTAAATAAATATCTTGCATGGTACTAATTGCGTTTTAAATGCTGCTACTGGAGAACAGATAAAACGATGCTGTATTTCATTAGTGGCTCCCTTAATTCTATGGTATTTGCCAGCAAGCCCTATTAAAGCACTCTGTAATTAAAGACCAGTTCTGGGTCCTGTAATTTAGAGCATTATCAAAATATGGCAAGTGACTGGAGGTAAGGAAATGGAAACACACACCACTTTCATAAGGTCCGTGTAGATCACAGAGTGTGAATTTTAAAAGCTCAGCCTTTGTACCGCCCCTGCCAGAGGGGTCTTGTCCACATCAGTGTTTTCCATTTGATGGGCAATCAGTTACATTTTTATTATTCCACAGGAGTGTAGGTGGAGAAGTAAATTGGTTCTTTTATTGAAACAATTTTTTTTATTGTGATATAATTCTCATAATGTAAAATTACTACCTTAAAGTGTACAATCCAGTGGTTTTTAGCATAGTCATAGGTTTGTAAAACCATCTCCAGGACTTTAAAAAAATTTTTTATTTATATTTTTGGTGGGCGGGGGAGGTAATTAGGTCTTTTTAAACTTATTTACTTTTGGAGGAGGTACTAGGGATTGAACCCAGGACCTTGTGTTTGCTAAGCATGCATTCTATCATTTGAGCTACACCCTCCCCCTTAACTCTAGGATATTTTTATCACCTCCAGAAGAAACCCCATACCTGTTGGCAGTCAGTCCTCATTCCCACCCGTCCAGCCCCTGGCAACCACTAATCTACTTTCTACCTCTATAGATTTGCCTGTTCTGGGCATTGCGTGTAGATGGAATCAGACAGTAAGCTTTTGTGACTGGCTTTTCTTAGAATATTTTCAAGGTTCATCTGTGTTGTAATAGGTATCAGGACTTCAATCCTGTGTATGGCTAAATAACATTCTGTTGCTTGGATGTTGCACTTTGGGTTATCCATTCATCTGCTGATGAACATTTGGGTTGTTTCTACTTTTTAACTGTAATGAACAAGGCTGCGGTGAACATTCATGTACAAGTTTTTGTGTGAACCTGTGTTTCCAATTCTCTCAGGTCTGTACCTCAGAGTGGAATTGCTCGGTCATATGGTAAATCTATGTTTAACCTTTTGAGAAGCTGCCTGGCTGTTTTTCCACAGCAGCGGCACATTTTATATTCCCAAAAGCAGTGTATGAGGTTTCTGATTTCCCCACGTCCTCCCACTTGTTATCATCTGTTGGCTGTTAGTACAGCTCTCCTAAAGGAGAGAAGAGGCACCTCACTGTGGTTTATCCATCCTTTCACCATGAAGATAGCCATCCTTTGCCCCTGCTCCTGGTGGTGAAACACATAGATTCTCTCTGTGTTACCCCAGCAGGAGAGCCTCTGTGGTCCTTCTTCCGTTCCCTCCATTAGGAACTGGCCCGGAGACACCTCCTGACCCACGACACTGCGGCAGAGGGGCAGCGGGAGCCAAGTGGATGGAATCCAAATCCTGGTCCTGCCACTTCTTAGCTATGTGATCCCGGGCAAGTCACCAAACCTTCCTACACCTCATCTCTAAGATGGGAATCACGTAAGGGTGCTGCTGGCTTTCAAGGACTCTACGAAACAGCTCTCTGTGAACATCTCACCATCTCTGAAATCAGGACGTGTCTTAATCTGTTTGTCGGCCAGGCTGCACCCGGGACACACACGTCACTGCCCGGACATCACAGCTTGCCGCCGGGCTGTCGGCGCCAGGGAGAAAACCCCAGAGACAGCAGCGGAGCGTCCTTGTAGCAATGCTGGGTGACCTGCGTCAGCGGCGCTCTGGGTTCACTGGACAAGAATGTGGGGAAAACGCAGGCCACCATGACTCTGAGTCCCGGGGTGATGGGAAGCGGGACTGCAGATGTGAGGAAGCTGGGGGATACCCTAACCAATTTATTACTCATCTTTTCCTTTTTATCTATGCACAGGAGTGATGTATGGCAACCATCTTTAAAGCAATCGAAGAGAACCCTGTCAATAAGTACAAAATAAAAATTGTAAGTACTAAGAAACTCTTGTGTCAATTAATTGGCTTTTTTTTTCTTTTTTAGGGGAGCATAAAGTTACAACATGGGTTATAATCACTGATGAGCTACAAGTACCTACTTCCCACAGTAAGAAGCTGTGGAGCAGACCAGATGGGACAATGTGAATGAAACACTTACAACAGGGCTTGGCCAGGAGCAGTGCTGTTACCAACACTGATGTTAAGAGTGTTATGGGTGGGGAGGGGATAGCTCACTGGTACGGTGCCAGCCTAGCATGCTTGAGGTCCTGGATTCAATTCCTATGTACCTCCATTAAAAATAAACAAACCTAATTATCTCCCCCACCAAAATAATAGTAGTAATAATAAATAAAAGGGACGAAGAGAATTTGTTTTTTAAAGAGTGTTATGGGTACCAGTGTATCTAGTTGGTTTATCTTAGGATGTGTGTAATGGTTACTCAGCTTTCTACGAGTGAGCCCCTCTTCTGATCCTTCACTGAATGACTAATCCTGGAGGAGGGAAAAGCCATAATTAGTGCTTATTTCTTTTATAGATCTCAGGAAAAAAATCAATAAAATCAGCTGGCCTGAAGAATACAACATTTAAAAAATGTTAGGCAAAGACTCTAATGGAAGAGGCTTACTGTGTGCCATTTGCAAGGCTGAGAGGTGACCCAGAGATGTTGGCTTCCTCCTCAGGGATGCTCACCTGGCACTGTCCAGGTCAGTGGTGCCCAGCAGCTGATTTCTGGGCCCCCACGGGTGCATGCGGTTCAGCGTCTCTCTCTGTCAAGCCCGCTAACTCTGGTCCCACGTTGCGTGAATCTCTTCCCAACGCCAGGTCAGTGACTTCACGTCAGTAGCTTGAAACTGGCTGATGCCTGAGTATTGACATGATGGGAACTGGCAAACACCATGTATCAGGACTTTTGGGAAAGCTAATTTGCTAGCATATCACTGCATCAAACATCCTGAGTTCTAGGGGTAGAGGTGCTATCTGTAAACTCAGACCCAAACCACAAGTCGAGGGCCGCTCACTGGGTCAGCAAGTATGTTTGCGCCTTTGAGGAGTTTCGGCACCATGGGCATTTGCCCTACTTCCCTGGATACATATTCTTGCAACATTGTCCATTTCCGTGGGGCCATCTTTAGGGTATGGGTGACCCGCTAGAAAGTTCGTCTGGTTCCTGTTTGTGGAAGGAAAGTCAAAATAGAGTCAGCATTGCTAAGAGGTTCTCTAATCGGAGCATGGGAGCCACTGAGGAGGTATGCCTTACGCACGCCTCAGCCTGGATGGAATCTGAACTTTGACTGCTTATTGTCTTAGCACAGGCATCTGGAACATCTGCCCAATGTTCCAGAAACTCCAGATACTTATCGGACCCTTACCCTAAAATAACCCATGACAACCTGTCCCCTAAGGACAAAGATCTTCTAGTTCTTCATCACCACGGTCAGTCCTAGTTCTTGCCAGACGGCCTAACCTTCTGGCTTTTACCTCTGTAAGCCCCTGACTCTCTCCCTTCCTGGAACACTCTTTTGGTTTTACCCGAAGCTGTGTCTCCTGAACTGCAATTCCTAAGACCCCCAGATAAGCTCTTGTCTAATCCTCAGCCTTCTGCGTTTCTTGGTTGACGTGTTTCAGCTGCAAAACATCTTCCAGACACTGCACAAGCCTCTCCTGGTTTCCATGTGGCTGGAGTTAGGCTGAGAGTTCAGGCTTCTGAAGACTGAGTCGGGACTCAGAGTGGAACAGAAAGAAAGGCCCAAGGAAAGGAGACAGACACTAAGGCTTATTTGACAACTGGAGAGAGGATGGAGACAGGCCTCCTCTTAATTCCTCAGTGTAGGTGGACTCAGGGAAATTATTAGTGTGGTTGGAGGCACCGATCTCCGGCTCTGCTCCGACTCCCCAAAGGGAATTCTGCAACTGCCAGCCGTTTCTCTACCCCTTCCCTCAACTCCTCTCAGGAGGCTTAGAAGATGCAGTAATAAATGCCAAGCAAGAGAAACAAGGCGAGAGGAGAAAAGAAAGCCAGGTTGCCTGGGGCCTGGGGCAGGTGGGGGCAGTGAGGAAGGGAGCACGAGGAGGGGGAGCTGGAGAGGAGGGAATTAGATGGGGGGAAGGAAAGGGAATCTGACTATGATTTGATTATTTTTTGAATAGGTGATACATGCCCAAGGTACACGATCAAAAAAATCTCCCTCACCCCCTGCCTTTGGCTCCAGTACCTCATTGTTTTCCTTGGATGTTAACCCCTCTTATCAGTTCTTTGCATATCCTTCCAGAAATTCTCCAGGAGAGAAGTTCTCAAACTCCCGGGTGGATGAGAATCACCTGGAGGGCGTGTGAAAACAAAGGCTGCTGACAGCCGCCCAGTTACTTTTCTGATTCAGAGGCTCTGAGTGGGGTCTGAGAACTTGCGTTTCTAACAGGTTTCCAGGTGATGTGCTGCTGGTCTAGGGAATCTCATGCTGAGAACCCCTGTTCTGGGGGGATTCATAGGAACTCTATCTTTTTTTCTGGAGTACTTTGAGTATCTGTTCCTGGCAGTGGAAATGTCCCTAAGATACCATTGGTGTAGCACAATTCCTGCCTGGACGCCTTCTCTATGCTGGTTTCCTCGCCGGGAATACCCTCATCTCTGACCTTCATTTACCCAAGTCCCAGTTCAATGTCTGCTTCCTCCAGGCAGTCTTTCTTGGTTCTTCCCCTGCATGGAAGAAATCTGCTCCTTTAAACTCCCATAGCAGTGTTTGTCCATATCCCTCTAAGGGCACCTGCTATTTTATTTATTAGAACAGGATGTTAAATGGGACTCTTTCTGCTTTGGTTTTTACAAGTTTTGTTAAAGAGATATCAGACCTTATAGTGAGTTTGAGAGATCATTAAGTGCAGAATTTAGATCTCAAGACCTTTGGACTTTCCCTGGTTACCTTGGGGCTATAAAATTGTTAATAGGACTTTTGGGGACTTGCTGGGAGAGGGCTGTGCTGGAAACCTGGAGACGGGAAGATGAGATTAAATGGGGTGTCACTTCCTTCAAACCCAGAGAGAAGGGGCTTCAGTGGCTGCTTGAGAGCTTGTGTGGGCTCTTGGCAATTGGGAGCCTCTCAGGACCAGGGCCAGATTCCTGCCTGCCTGAGAGAGCTGAAAGCTGCCTGGGGCCAGGCAGAGACAGGAAAGGAACTGCCCTCCACCCAGGGCAGAGCAAGGGGAGTGTCGCTAAGGAGACATCTTAAAACCCACGCAATATGGCCAGGATGGTAGGGGGCTGCTGAAAGGAAGGGAGAGGTGACCCTCCAGATTCTATGATCTGCAGTGATGGAATCCTGGCAACTGCGGGTAAGCCCCTGGTTTTGGGGGAATCTCTGAGGACTACCCAGAGTGCCCACGAGCACAAGAGTTATCTTTACCCACCGCCCTTTGGAGGACCCAGTGTCTGGAGACAAGGGCATCTTCTTGGATTCTGCCCTTTCGCTCTGTAGGCAGGGACCCTGTCGGCTTGCTGGTGGGAAAGGGGAGGGGGAAGGAGAAAAAGCCCCTGACCTCCCTTCTCAGGCAGCCAGGGAGATGGAAGAAAATGTAAGGCCAAATCAAGTTCAGAGTTTTGATTATATCGGACTGGACATTCTAATCACAGGTGACATGGTTGTGCCTTAAAGGGGTAGCGACTGTAATGCTGCCAATTCCCTGGAGTGGCAGGACAGTCCGTCCCTGCTGGAGTTTCCATCTGGGACTGGCAAAGTTGTCCTCTTGATTGTTTATGCATTGTGATTGTTTAAAATACCACACACACACACACATGCACACTACACAATCTTTTTACCACTTTGCTATAAACTTCTTGATTCATGGCTTATAACACCTTTGTGACCCTTTGGCACCTAGCACCATACCTGGCAAACACTAGGCACACAAGGGGTGTCTGCCCACTTACTCCGTCATTCTTCTATTCAACATTTTCTGGAGAACCCATGCTTAGCACTAGTGACAGAGCAGGAAATGAAATGATGGTGCCTCTTGTCTTTCGGGATCTTGCCGCCTGCGGGGGTGGTTTAAGAGAAGCCTGTGTACGGCTCACACCCCTCCAGGGCAGCTCCAGGGGGAGCAAGTGCAAATCCCTGAGGGGGCCAGGCAGGTTCATGCACCTGGGCAGGTATAAGACAATAGGGGCATCGGCAGCTTCGGTGGGACAGGACACCCGCCGCGCCCCTCAGAGGGCTGCAGCTGCCCTTTATTGCCTTCTGAGGATCCAAGCTCATTTGTTCAAAAGCAGTAAGAAATCTGGGTTTTTATGTGACACGTCCCCAACGAAACACATTTGTGGGCTGGTTCAGTGCAAAGGTTGTTGGCTGGGGCCCCTGTGTCGTGGGCACTCTCCTGGTTTTCTCCTGCAGGAAGAGGGGCTCCCAGTAATAGAGGACCAAATGCTGCTTCTTTAGGAATTAATAAGTCAAGTTTTGGAGAAGCTTTACACAAAGACCTTAACTTTATTAAAATACTCCTTTGGCCCAAAGAATAAATATTTTAAAAATCCCCACCCTAAGTGCTTAATCTGGTAAAATGTGCAGCAAATAAAATGAACGCTTTAAGAAGATTTGCTTCCTGTTTCAGAAGAGGCCCCTCGGCTCTACTGTCTGATTACAGAGGAGTGTCCTTTCCTGCCAAGAGTATGACCAGAAGCCACAAACAGACCAGGCCACCGTTTGAGAGGAACTAGTCAGCAAGCTGCATTAACTGCAATTTCATTACCTTGAAAAGGATTCCATTAGTTGGAGACTTAGTGATGGCTTCTGGGGCTGATTCCTCCTTCTGGGTGCCGTCCAGTGCACCCTGCCCTGGGATCACAGGGTCCAGCAACCAGGCTGGAAGTGGAGCTGAAGAAGTTCTGGGAGACAGTGCATAACAAGGCAGGCAGCCCAGTAGAGACAGCTAGCTGGGACGCCTGCTGTCCGAGTTCTGTGTCCCGCTCTGGGGACAGACCCGGGGTAACACTATACAAGGGTGATGTATAGTGACTCCTTCTGGTACAAATACAGTCACATTTCTTATTTTTACCATTAATAACTCCCATATACCTTTATTAGCAGGAGACCTATTTATCTACCTGTTGAGCTGTCCCTTTAAACTTTCAAGAATCCTATATCCTTAGTTCAAAGACGTCAGTGTTACGTCTCAAACCAGGTCACCAGGGCTGTTGTTTCACTTTTCACCACAAGGTGGCACTGTTGAAGCCTGGTTTTGCGCGGGCCAGCACACACTTGCTTTGTACTTTGGTGATGCCCTTGCCTGTATAGGTCCTTGCCAGCCCTCAGTACTGCCACATGCCAGGTTTTAAGGTGGAAATACTTTAAATTAGTACACATGTGTATTCCCAAAGCCTGACCCTGTGCCAGGGTGAGGACTGCCTTTATGTACTGGTATGGAGGTCACCATCCCAGAATCCCCATAACCTCCTGCAAACTTTCCCTTTGTGGCCCTGGGGGTCCTTTCCTGCTATCAGTCTGGTCGATGACATCCCAGAGTTTTTGTAAATTGAAATCTCACTGAGCTTGAGGTAAAGGATTCTCAGTTGCTTCCCTCCTTTAAGACTCTGACATGGCTCTGAAACGGTGTCCCTCCCTTTTCAGAAATCCACATGACAAGGGGTCTTAGCGAAGGACTTCCTTGCTAAATCAAGTGAAAAGTCCTGTTATTCCTTTTAATTATCAAAGATAGAGGTCTTCTACCCAGGGCAGGGGAGCTGTTTGCAAAAAATTTTTTAACTCAAGGGGGCAAGTGTTTCTCTCATAACGAAAAGGCTGATCCAACATGACTCTTCTGACTACACAGAGGGGAAGTCAGTAACTTCTTAAAAATTGATTCAGACCTTGCCTCACTCTGCTCCCTATTCTAGGTTGCTGAATGTAAGAAGAGACAACTGAGACTCAAGGGAAATAAATGAATTGCCCAAGAGCACACGGGGAGTGAGAGAGGAGCCACGAGGAGACTGAAGTCCGGGCACTTTCCACTTCCTTTCCTGAGAGATTCTGTAGAAGGAAGAAGGAAGGTAACCAGAAGTCAGGGTAGTCAGGAAAGGCTTAAGAAGAGATCAAGTCTTGGCCTGAGCACAGAACTAGGAAATTGAGATTCTCCCAGGAGATGGAGTGGGGCATCCCTGCATGGACCACATTTAGGGGGCAGGAACGGACCAGACAGCTGGAGAGGGTCCCCAAGGAAGCACCTCATGCTGGAGCAGCCCTAGAAGGGCCAGAGGCTGCTGTGGCCAATCACTACATCCATTCTACCCTAGTCCTTAGTTCAAGGCTTCCTGGAATAATGCTTTCTTGTCTCAGTCTCCCTTTCAGCTCTGTGTTTTCGTGTGGCTTGGTTTTGGCCAATGAAATATAAACAGAAAAGTTTTGTAGAAACTTCTGGGGATCCCACTTAAAATAGAGTAAGTTCCCCTGTAACCCTTCCTCCTCCCTTCCTATATCCTGATGTCTGGGAGGTATATGTGATGGCTGGTCCTCTAGCCATCATCTGAGACCATGAGTCCAAGGGCCACACTTTAGAAATGATGCGGTGGTGAACCTGTAGCCTCTGCAGCTATCTGGGGCTGCTGTACCATCCCTGGACTGCCAATCTGTGACCTTCATTTAGGAGAAACTTCTATCTTGTTTGCATCATGGTTATTTGGGGTTTTCTGCCACATGCAGCTGAACTGCCTGCCTAGATTACTGGGGAATCCCCGAATACCTGGCCAAGGAGTCTGGACTTCATCCTGTGGGTCAATGGGGAGCAAGACAGTGACAGGACAAAAGCCGTTCTTTAGTAACAGTCATTTGGCCACGAGGCACGGCATCCATGTTGTGAAGAAAGTGAGGGCTGTGGACCAGCTAGATGACTGTTATTGTAACTTGGCTGCTGGGAGGGTGAGCGAGTGGAGGCTGTGTTTAACCTAGTTTCTCAGCTGGTTGCTCTGAGATATCAGGCCGGCCACCAAAAATTTTGATTCCATAAGATCTTCATAGCTTTCCAGAGGGGCAGCAAAACTGTGAGACTGACAGGTCCTGACATAGCCCTCGTAGGCTGAGACAAGGCAGTGGTTAAGAGCAGAGTTTTGGCATCAGATCTACCTGGCCTTCAAGTTCTGGCCTCTCTTTTGGTAGCTGTATGACTTAAGGCAAGTTATTTAATCATTCCTGACTTCGGTTTTCTGATCTATGAAATAAGGATTAAGACATCTATTTCACAAGATTGAGAGCTAAGACATGTGAAAAGCTGAGCGTGGTCTCTGAGCTGGCCTGATTCACAGCTGAAATGGCCATTAGTTATGTGTCTTATTTGAGTCTCAGGTTTCCTGATTTTTTTTTTTAATGGAGCTACTGGGGCTTGAACCGAGGACCTCGTGCATGCTAAGCATGCGCTCTACCCCTGAGCTATACCCACCCCCCTCCATCCTGATACTTTTATCAACGGGACCTATTTTTTAAAAACTTTTTTATTGAGTTATAGTCATTTTACAATGTTGTGTCAAATTCCAACGTAGAGCACAATTGTTCAGTTATACATGAACATACGTATATTCATTGTCACATTTTTTTTGCTGTGAGCTACAAGATCTTGTATGTATTTCCCTGTGCTATACAGTATAATCTTGTTTATCTGTTCTACATTTTGAAATCCCAGTCTGTCCCTTCCCACCCTCTGCCCCCTTGGCAACCACAAGTTTGTATTCTATGTCTATGAGTCTGTTTCTGTTTTGTATTTATGTTCTCTTTGTTTTTTAGATTCCACATATGAGCGACCTCATGGTATTTTTCTTTCTCTTTCTGGCTTACTTCACTTAGAATGACATTCTCCAAGAACATCCATGTTGCTGCAAATGGCATTATGTTGTCAGTTTTGATGGCTGAATAGTATTCCATTGTATAATTATACCACATCTTCTTTATCCAGTCATCTGTTGATGGACATTTAGGCTGTTTCCATGTTTTGGCTATTGTATACAGTGCTGCTATGAACACTGGGGTGCAGGTGTCTTTTTGAAC